GGACTTATCAGTTGAGGCAGAGAGCTTGGATAGGGTGGATCTGCTTCTTCCTGGCTACCAAACCCTGTTTATCAATCAGGTCGCTCAAGTCTCCAAGGGTCCGGTAATTCTTGTAATTATGTCTGCTGGTGGTGTTGATATCAGTTTTGCCAAACAAAATGATAACATCAATGCAATATTGTGGGCTGGGTACCCGGGGGAGGAAGGCGGCCATGCCATTGCAGATGTTGTTTTTGGACATTACAATCCTGGTACGTAACGCTAAAAGAATCACATTTTTAGTCCACTTTGATGATAATGTTGCATCATTTAGCATAATTTTTGCCTAAATGTATACTTAGTGGGAAAAGGCTTTGTTGTTGTTGTTGTTGTTGTATATCTTAGCTTTTAACTTGCTCACTACGATATAATGTAAATGTTTACTATGTTACAGGAGGAAGATTGCCTCTTACATGGTACGAAGCTGGTTATGTGGATATGCTACCCATGACATCCATGAAATTGAGGCCAATCGATAGCCTAGGCTATCCCGGTCGTACATACAAATTCTACAATGGCTCCACAGTTTACCCATTCGGATATGGCCTTAGCTACACCCAGTTCAACTACACCCTGCGATCTGCAGAGAGATCTCTGGATATAAAGTTGAGAAAGTCCCAACACTGCCGTGACATAGAGTACAAGGATAATGAATACAAGCCACCTTGCCCTTCAGTCCTTATCGACGACTTGGAATGCAACCATGAATTTGGGTTCGGGATTGAAGTAAAAAATGTGGGTAAGAGAGATGGAAGTGAAGTCATCATCGTTTACTCAAAACCACCTATTGGCATCGCCGCTTCACATACCAAGCAGGTGATTGGGTTTAAGAGGGTCTTTGTGAAAGCCGGAAAGAGCAAAACTGTTAACTTTGTGTTCAATGCCTGCAAGAGCTTGGGAGTTGTCAACTACAATGCTTACAATCTTCTGACATCAGGCAGACACACTATTATGCTTGGAGATGATGTCGTCTCCTTCCCCATTCAACTCAACATTAAAGAGTGAATTGTTATTGTAATGAACTCGGACTGGTCTTAGGCTCATTGTGAGTAAATAATTATTTAGTGGAATAACCAGTAGGCTTGCTGCTGATGCACCTCCTTTCCCTCTTCAGATCAGTTTGTAACAGTAGCCAGTTGAGTTTCTTGATTTCTAATTTTCATCCACTTCATGTCTATTTGATCTTCTATTGACGCTACACGATTTCTAAACAATTCCTCTTACCACTCGTATATTTTCTACTGAACTTTATTACCGGAGGGGTGATTTGAACTCAGGTGCAAGGAGGTGGGCACACATCTGCTTACCACTCATAAATTCAAAAGCATATTTTGTGCTAAGAAAATCAATCTAAACCAATGCAAAATGCATATATATATATATATATATATATATATATATAATTCCAAACGAGGTAGAAGTAGAACAGAACTCCAAATTAAACAGTTCCAAAATTTCTTGTATGTACAAAATCGACAATTTTGATGACTAACTATGAAACCAATGTTTGTGAAATAAAAGTTTGGACCAAATTAAGAAATGTGGCCAGCAATGACACAATAGCAATGTCTTTGATCAAGTCAATCTAGGTTCAATTAACAGAGCCAAAGAATTTGGTAAATTATATGCAGTCTTGTCCAAGTGCTATTTGTTTTACTCCTGTTTCTTGGCATCAAACGCGCGTTTCCATAGTTTTTTCAGTTTCCAAGCTATTTCCTCGGCCATTCAAATATTTCTTTTACAATATACTGACTGCTACTAGTCCAGATTATATCTGAACTGGTAAGATTTTGGGCGAGATTTAATGGCTGAGTCACTGAAGGTATCCACATATCCAAATTAAATTTTAAATGTGGATTGTCTTCTTAATCCTATTGCATAATCACCATCAAGTACAATTAACAATAAAACTAAAATTTATCAATAAACTCACATCCAATAATTTAAACGAAAGAGCAAATAATAACAGAAATCGAAAAGGAAGTGAAGCTTACACTTCGGTTTGGAAGGGTAATAAAGTGAAGGTGATGTAGGGCCGGATGATTTTCAACGTGTTTTGGATGGACCAAAATAGAAGAATTTTTTAAGATTATGCAGGAACTGGTTTTGAAGAGCTTTGGGACATAATTAGGTTTCTGTCAGCCCTCTAGGCTTCTGTTTCTCATGAGTTCACGTGAATTTCCATCTCCTTAATTAATTTGGGTGGATTGGAAGGCAACTTCCTTTTAGTTTGTGACTTTGTGTTTGATTTCTATTAAATCATAAAGGATTGAACGGAAAGACGACAGACCTAGCGGAAGGAGGGAACGTCAGAGGAGAGAACATATGCTTTGAGTTGGTTTTTTATATTTTAAATGGGTGTAAAGATAAAATTACATATTAAATTGAGTTTGTGATGATAGTAAACTTTATGTTTTGCTTATGAGGGTAGGCTACTTCGACGGAAACCCTACTTTCAAATCTCTTGGCAAGAAGGATATATGCAACAAAGAACATATTGAGTTAGCCACAGAAGCAGCAAGAGAAGGAAATGTTTTGTTAAAGAATGCCAATGAAACTGCCTCTGAACTCTGCTGAGTTTAAAACCCAGCTGTCGTCGGGCCTCATGACAATGATACCAAGGTCATGATCGGAAACATGGCTTAAGAATGGACCTCCTAGGAAGCTGATGCAACCATAGTTTGGTGGGTTGGACTTATCAGTTGAGGCAGAGGGCTTGGACACAGTGGACCTCCTGCTTCCTGGTTTCCAAACTCAACTTATCAACCAGGTCGCTAGAGTCTACAAGGGTCCAGTAATTCTTGTAGTCATGTCTGCCGGTTGTGTTGACCTCAATTTCGCCAAACAAAATGATTAAGTCAGAGACATCTTGTGGGCAGGGTACCGGGGGAGGAAGGTTTCCTTGTCATTGCAGATATTAACGGATTAGGCAGGTGGTAATTACAACTTAAGGACAGTGTCAGTGTCGTTTGAGCGGGGCTCCCTCAGGTCAGTCTATCTAAAATTCCAACATCTACGTTTACCCATTTGGTTATGGCCTTAGCAACGCTTAATTCAACTACACCCTAACAACTGTAGATAAATCGATGAATATTTTGTTGAAACAAGACCCAAAACTTGCCACGAAATTCAGTACGACGATGAAGCACACAGACTAGCTTGCCCTGCAGTCCTCGTAGATGACTTGTATCACAACTGTACAAATACCAATCTCTACCATAAAGTATGGTTAAAATCCTGCATATTTTCTAAGTAAATCGTTATTAGCACTTTAAAAAAGTTATCATGCACTTATTTAGTCGTTCCTCTTTTATTGTTCTATTATATAACTGTGTACTGATAACTTTTTTAGAGTGTGTGTTGCATCTCCCTTTCTATATAATAGTAATAACACACCAGGTATGCAAGAATCGATCTCTACGAGACAGAATCTTGTTGCTATGATGAAAATCAATTTCTTCCAATATAACCAAAGAATAGACTTTACCTTACAACTAATAAGTAATAGTTCCCATGATTACATCCAACTGAGGATGGCTTCCATCCAAATGTAAGAGCCAAGGAAACATGAACACAAAATTTCAGTAAAAATTACATTTTTTTTTTCTTTCCTTTGTTTCAAAATATTGAAGGGCGAGATTGGGTGGAACAGAAAGTTTACTCCTTTGTGACTGAAAGGTCACGAATTCAAATCGTGAAAAACATCTTTGCAAAACAAAAGTACAACTACATACAACAGTCCCCCGACAATCTCGTAAAACAGTAAGCCTTATTAACTTAAGTCGCCCTTCCTTTCAAAACCTTCAAAAGTAAATAAAGTAGAATATGGATGAGCAAAAAGCCACCATAACAGACGACCAAAAAATAAAGTGAACTGCAAGAGATGATGGGCAGGGGAGTCCCAACTTGACCAAAAATGATCCCAAAGAGTGGGGCCAAAAAGGCACAAAAATTAGAGAGCAAGAAGTATGGGGGTAAGTGGGAAAAAAGTCTTCAATGGTGCGCCACCATCCCCAAATCTTATTGGAACTTCAAACAAATGTACACGGATGGGAGGAGGCAATACCTCCGTCCATCCTTGTCCCAACTATTTCCAGCACCTTAAAAAGTTAATAAAAAACCGAATTGGATCCTCTCCTGAGCCTAAAGAGAGGATCTTCCTGATCAAGAAATGTGGATCGTTAGATTTTCATTCAACGATTATAATTATTATAACTTTAAAGGAACCCTTATTTGTTGTAGCCGTTGGATAAAAATCCAACGGCTCACGTTCCTTGATCAGGAGGATCCTCTCCTTGGACTCAGGAGAGGATCCAATTCCATAAAAAAAAAACCATACAAATTAAAGAGTATTTGAAAAAATTAAAAAAAAAAAAAAAGAAAAAAAAAAGACAGTGACACGGAATTGAACAAGTCATGCTCACATAAAGCAACCAGTGATCATCAGAATCTTGTATAAAAAAGAGAGGAGTTTTTAACTGAATCCAGCACCAAATACAAACACGAAAGCTTATTGGTTATGAGGGAAGACGCAAGAATTCACCTTACATGCATGATCGCGATGTTCGTGTTCCGGGATTTCGAATCGTTGAGTGTGAGAGCTATGGAAAGGAGACATAACAGCGACATCACTGATACGTCTTTGTGATTCATTCGACAGGGATTAAACAGAGATCGTTATGGCTCGTTTGGTGCTCGAATTGGATTGAACTGGATAACTAACAAAATTTGAACCACGTTGAAAAAATTTTGTCCGACTTGAAGGTAGACTATTAATTTTACAGACCAAAGAAGCTCATCATTTTCAATCCCCACAAGATTTTCGGATTCCTTCATTCATCCCTTCTGATCACCTCGAAATAAAAAATCAATTCATCTCCACTTTCAATATACGTTGAATTTTTTTAATTATCTAATTCAATTCAATCGCAAGACGAATATAAGCAAAAATGGAACATCAATTATAACTAACAGAAGCAAACTGATTTATTAACCAAGCGAGGGTGGCGAAAATAGTGCATAGTTACATAGCAGTCGATAGCTGCAACTTACCATACGAAATTAACTGAAAAGAAGAAAATGAGCATCCATACTACAAATCAAAGAGAAGATCGGAATACACTTCAGGAGCAGTACCAGAGAGCTCCGAAATCAGATTCGAGTGACAACATGAGGGATAATCGCCTTCGTTCAAAAGAGAGGGGAGTGATAAAAACAAGAGAGTGTACGTTCTTACCACCGTAGCTTCAAGTGCACATTTAGTCGTTCAAATTCTCAACTCCAAGCTTCTGCAGCTCAACCTTGAGAGATTTCAAGTACTGAACAGCTTCGTCTAGAACGGCGACAGTGTTCATTTCATTCGCACCAGGAACAATCCCTCTCAGCGCCCTCACCATCTTCTTCATTTTTTGGCGTTTCCTTTCACTATTGCAGCTGCTACTGCTACCAATGGCAGTAGATTTTTCAAGTGAAGAACACAGCCTTTCCTTCTTGGTTTTCAAACCATAACTGGAGCAAGAATCAGAGAATGAGCTCCCATAATTTCCACGAGTTCGTGCTGTACTGACCTCTTCCTCATCATAATCTTCCAGCTCTTCCTCTTCCAGGCTCAACAATGCATCAATATCATCGGAGTCCTCCTTCAGAGTAGACGATGCTTCTCTATTGTCAATATTTCCCTTGTTCAATCCCAGATTGTCTTGGATGTAAGCTGCACAGAGGTTAAAGGCAGGACCAGTAATTTTGTGGGAAATTTCAGGATTGAACATAATCTGACTTCGATGATCAGTCTGGTCGAAGATAATGAAATTCTTCGGGCAGATGCTAGAGGTTTGAAATTCAACACCATGGAAAGGTCTAAAGTGATTTGCGTCATTAGGTAAAACTGCCCCACACCCAGAAGCAACTGGAATATGCATGTAATTATTACCCACTTGATTTGAAAACGGCGGAGCTGCCTTGTTGGGGTCAAATTGCTGGTCACTCTGCATCAGAAATTCTAAGTAATTAAAGCTTAACAGACGGCGTTTCAACTGAAGTGTCAGATTCTTTGACTTCTAACTGGATGAAGGTTCGCAAAGATAATACAAGAACTGTTTACAAATCAAGTTATTTCCATTTTGGTCACGAGAGCCACCTATTCCCAACCAAAAGCAACCACAACAACTACAACTGCCTTCTTATGTATAAATACCGCAAGAGTGCCAGTTTATACCAAATCCCCGAGTCCAGAGGGCTTTTGATATAATACTACGTAACAGGTTTAAGCAACTGACGGAAATATTCAGCCTGTGAGAGCAAAGAAAGAGGATATCAACAAATTTGTTTTAACATCTTGATAGTGGTACAATCAAGCATGCAAGTCAAGAACAATCATTTGAATGCATATCAATACGTAGTCCTGGTAAAGACAGCAAACATGTTTTTCCATTGAATTTAATAACTACTTAATTACTGCTTGGGAAATGGGAATAATAGTTAAATAAACTAGTATCCTGCCCGCAGCTCACCCAAATTTGTAAAGTATGCCAATAACTATGGAATTCCAAATGAAATCGAATTGACAATTTTATTTCATGCTTAATGTAAGTGAATTCCGCGGAAAGAAGTATTATTGCAATCAATCGAAGCTGAAAGAAGATGAACAACAACATAATGCCACGGCAGGGAAACAAGAATATCAGATGTACCTGACAAACTTGCATCTGGTGAGAGTAGGCAATTACCCCAACACTCATTAAAATCTTCCCAACTTCCTTTATAGCTCGATATTTCTTTACGTTTACCCCAATGTTCATTCTCACTCTTCCAACCAGCCCTAAAAATCACCAAATAAAAGGATCCTTCGAAAACAGAGTTTCACCTGCAGCAGTCGATCCACAAAGCCGCATTGTTAGAATGAGACTGAAAGAGCAATTCGAAACCGAACTACAATGCCACATTTGATAAGAAGTACAGACACATCAACTTGTCCCCAATAACTTAAAGCACAAAGGAATCAACGAACTGACGTTTTTGTTCTACAACAATCAAACAATTAAAATAAACACATAAGAAAATCATTCGGTTTCCTCTAAAAAATCAGTAGCAAGCCCGTAGAGGAAATCGGATACACTGGAGGTAAATGCGTAATCAAGTTTCCATTTTTACACAAAATTACTTGATCCTGTCAGCCGAATCAACAAGGCAAGACTATCTTGAACAAAGCAAATGAAGGCACAATAAACTGCAATACAGAATGTGTGTAATCTCACCAAAGTGAAGCAATTTACAGTATGACACGGAAGAACACCACCAAGCGAACGCAGTTCCTGTTGTAATTCACAAAAGAAGACGTCCACGGCATCTTGATTTTATTTCTTCAATGCCAAATTAATAGTAAATCTTCTCAATCTTCCGCTGGGAAAAACTAAATGGAAACAAAATCCCAAAGTTAATCAAATATTATCCAACATTTATGCCTTCACACCAGTCACTTAACACAATAAACACACAAATAAAGATAAATTTGCCTAATCAGAAAACTGCAAAGAAAAAAAAATCAAATTAAAATAATTTATTAATTTGAGCAGTTTCCTAGCAACATAAACAGAAGCTAATTACACAGAAACACTCAGAAAATAAAAAATTACTTAAACAATTAATCCCAATTCAAAACCCTAGATTATGGATCCAAAACAAACCAAATCATTCATTTATATTATATCATCCAGTGAATCAACAGGAACTACCTCAAAAGCAAACAAATCAACCTTCAAGCCCCTCAAAAACCACAACCCACAAAAAATTACAGCAGAAAAAATGTAAAGGTAAAAACTTTCAGAGCAAAACCTAGGTTTTAAGAAGAAGACAGAAGATTTGAACCAGATTATCGATTGCAGAAGATCAGATTTCGGATTTGGGAAATGAGTACTTTTCTCTGAGCAAAAATTTCCCTGGATACGCGCTGCTGAACAAGATCTACCACTACTGGCTCTGAGAGAGAGAGAGAGAGTGTGTGTCTGAGAGAGGAGAGAGAGAGAGATAGATGGGAGGGCGTGTTTGGGGAGTGGTGGGTATTTAATTTTGGGGTTTTCGTTGGGATGTGTGAAGGGACCGAGACAGAGAGGAGTCAAACACGGAGCGTGTGAGCCGTCGGATTGGGGGCCTTGGAAATGCTTTCCGTCTATTGCGGATGCAATGATGCCCGTCGGATGGAGCACGCGTGCAGGGGCAATGTGGGGCCCCTTCTCGAGGTTTGACGAATGCGTACGTATCGTGGAAAAATGACTCCTCTACTCTTTGCCCGTGTGAATGCTCCATTTGCCTTTATTTATTACCCCCTACTCTCTTCAATTATGCTTTCCATAATTTTGCTTTTGCTTTAGTTAGCTCAAAAAAAATTGGGCAAAAATAATATTAAGAAATTAAACGATAAACTAACAAGTTTTCATTTATAATTTTTATGCAAACAATATTATAAGCCACTAAGATTAAATTTGTCCACGACAAGATTTTATATTATGAAAATGTGTCAAGATAGTTTAATTGTCAATACAGGAAAAAACGTATGTTTCAGTATAAAATACTAAACTATCATTTAACCATTCCGAATTAGAGTGGAACTATTCAAAATAGGATTTCCGAACTATTAGGTGATTTTCGTTTGTACTATTGTTCCATACTTGTAATTTCTACACATCAATTAATGAAAAACAAAAATCATATTCACGAAGCTAAAATAATATAAACTAATCAATATACCATAAAATCAATGTCAGAAAACTTATAAAATTGCATCCCAATAATCATACTATAATATATTATGAATCTAAAATATTCAACAAATACACATCAACTTTTATGTTTAACATCCTATATTATTAATTTAAATTAATATTAGAAAAATTACTTTAAATTTGAAATTAGAGAATTAGGTGATGTTGGAAAGAAGTGTACCAGGTGGTGGTGGTCTGGTGGGTGGCGAAGTTGAGAGAGGTGGAGCAAGTGGTGGTGGCGACCTGGTGGGGATGAATAGGGAATCAATGGAAAAAGAGAATAGGGTTGGGGAATTTTCAATTAGGGGTCTGTAAAAAAATTGGGATTCGTTGGGATTTATTTATGACTTGTTAATAATTAAATTATATTGTTGTTTATAAATTTAACTCCTATCTGTGTCTGTGTGTTTTCTTTTTTCGTTTTTGTGTTGCATGTGATATTTTTGACGAATTTATTCATACGTGAATACGACCCCTCAAGCTCAAGGTACATGAATGACGAGGGAAGATGGCGATGTGTGTGTCAAATTGTTAATTCGTGGCAATATAATTGGCTGCCAAGTGGCAATAAACTTCTAGTTCTAAACCACATACCAAACTTTGATGAATTGACAGAAGTGGAATAAAATCCATGTACTATTATATGTCACGCTTTATCTACGTAAACAATGGTCGGATCGGATGGATGATATTAATAAGTGGTTTTACAAGTAAAAACAAAATTCAAATTACTTCTGAGTTTGTGTTTCTTGTAAGGTGGTGATGTTAGAGAGATTATCTGCTTGAATAATATCAAAAATGGGTTTAAAAAGAAAACTAAACACAAAACTTCAAGTGCATGAATGAATTAATACTTTCAACATATGAGTTGAGGTACAAGCTGCTTGATCTCAATACTAGACTTTAAAATTAATACAAGTATTTTCTTCATTTAATTATGTATTTTGATTTTATCTTACTTTTTCTTTATAAACTATAGTGTTAATTAGTTAAATTGTTAGTTGGTAGGGAATAAGAGGATAGGTGGGGATCGAACTCACGCCAGACTACATAGACATAATTGCTTTCCGTTAATGCAGTAAAACGCAATATGCTTGATTTTATGTTACTTATTTCCCTGTTTGTTTTTCAATGTGTATCACTAAGTTAAGTCCAACCGAATCTTGTTACATAAATATCAAGCTAAGTCAAGCAACTCATCCCAAATACAAGCCGAGTTGAGACACAGTGACAAACTCATCATACTCATACGTTCTAGCAAAGTTTAAGCAGTACTAATCAATCTCTGCCTCTGGATTTCAACACTTCAACTAAGCTCAAGCTTCGGAGATTAACAGTCGAATCAAATTATAGCTAAGGTACAGTCCACAGTCCCCACAATTGGGACAAATTTATTAGACTACAAAAGAAGCAAACACGATAACAGAAAAACGCTTTGATAGTCTCAGACATAGACGCAATCACCCAAACCTGCGGTATATAACAAGCACGTTTTGTTAGAATCATAGCAATGAGGTAAAGGAAAAAATAAAAATACAAGATATGCAGTGTGTTATGCTAAACAAATTGGCTTACTTGGATTCGTCACGACGACTTGGCCAGCACCGTTGAAGTCGCAATTGTATTGTCCGTCAGCCTTATAGTAAAGATTCATGGCAAATGAGGCATGGCTTATCAGTGTATTTGGCAAAAAACATGAACCATGTTCTTGTATCTTGCTGCAATCTTTTAGTACTCCACAAGCGAAGTCAATGATTTCCTGCAACGCAGGATCTGGGATTCCTGGCTTAGCCACACACCAAGTGTCCTGCAAACCCAAAAAAACATATTAACTGTTTGAATGATTTAAGATTTTGGTTTAAATGAGTTATGTTTTTGTGAGGGAGAAATTAGGTTTGATTAATTACCTTTTTCTGTGGCAGTGGAGGTCCTGATCCTCCTGCCAAATACAAGGGATAAGAAAGCACAAATATAAAGAGATACAAATATTATTTACATACGAAACGTAAAGGAAAATACTTGGCTCTACCCATGGACGAAGCCATTCTTACTTACATGCCAATCAAAGATGATATCTGTGGCAAAAAAAAAATTCTTTTCGTGTTTTTATCAAATTTTATTTTGCAATGGATCAAATTGTGAATTGCACGTAGAAGAATGATTTATCCTGAGGAGCCGAGAAGTGTCAAAATGTATAACTTGTTGAAAACACATACCGCTCACAAATGTGCAGCTGGCATAATAACCTGCAACAATATGGTATAGCCTTAAAACGTTTAATTAATTTGTTGGAAATAAACTTTTAAAATTTGAAACAAATTAAATTGTTTGTATTTGTTTAATTAAATTATATGAAATTGAAATGGCCTACTTGGATCAGTCAAGGAAATGAGACCAGTATTGGTGAAATGGCAATTCCATTGCTTTCTTCCCATCTTTTGGTAGTAAGCATTCATGGCGTATGAGGCATGGTGCACTGATGTATCTGGATAAAAGCAACAGCCTCCTTTCACTGTTGGGGTGCAGTCTACATAACTGCATGCATAATCCACTGCCGAATGTAGGGCTTCTTCTTGTGCTGCAGGATTTGCTACACACCAAGCATTCTACAAAACCATGCAGATTAATTAAATTGTAATTAAATTAATCTAAGTATTTGTTGATTGTTATGAAAATATGGTTTCAGCTGGCTTAATTACCTGTGCATTCACCACCATGGATATCTCTCCTGCAAAAAAAATTGAAGTTAAGGATTATAATTAAGCTATTTTGCTGAGAAAGGATTATAATTAGGGAACTTTAACGAAAAGTTCCCGGTACTGTTCATTTTAACAAAAAACTACATTTTTATACTAAAAAATTAATCCTGATACTATTCACTTTGCCCTTTATTTTGTCCTTATCGTTAAAACTCAAAGTTTTCAAATTATTTTCATTCATTTTCCTTTATAATTATTAGTTTGGGCAAAACACTTTTTTAGTCCTTTCACAAAGTCACACTTTCGTTATATTTACCATTACATTCAATTTGGTATCCGATGGCATCCGACAATTCCGTTAATTTCTTGTAGGAAATCGTCATGCACTTGGCAGATCAGAGGTAAATTTGACGGATTTCATACAAGAAATCAACAGAAGTTGATGGATGTGCTCAAATTCGAAAAAATTAAAGCTACAGGGACCAAATTCGTCGCAATTGAAAACCATCTATGAAAATGTAACCTTATGAAAACTATAGGAACTAATTAGCTAAGGGCCGAGACGAAATGATCAAAAAACCAATTTCAGATTTTGAGAGAGTGCAGAAAAAGGGGAAATTTACAAATGTAAAATGCTGCATAGAGTTAAGAAAATAAAAAGGATCAAAACTAGTTTTGCAGATTAAGATGGAATTGAAGAATCTTGATCATACCTGAGAAGACGAACAGAAGAAGGATAGAAATAATAGGAGACAGTACAGCTAACTCAGCCATTTTTTCTGTACTATGTGAACTAGTACTCTAACTCTGTGATATGGAATTCATGAAGAGGGAAGATATATGGGGTATTTGTAGCAGTTACAATCTCATATGCTCCATTTAGTCCAGATTGCACATGAAGGTTGGCATGACAGTACTTTGAGGCCACCTGTTGCACATTTCTTTGTTCTTTTCTTGGTCAAACGGCTTTTTTAATCGGTTACTAGATATTACAATAACCAAGGGTCCATTTTTTTCTTTATGTTGTGCCCTTTTTTCTTTAATACTAGTGCAGTCTTAGGGGTGTATTCAATTGGGATTTTGAGGGATTTTAATTCTTTTAATGAATCTAGGGGCATTCAATCAGGATTTTAAGTGATTCTCTGAAATTCAAGGTGTATTCAATTAGAATTTTAAGATAGTTTATTAAAATCCTTAGAAATCCGGGTGTATTCAATTAGAAATTGATTTTAAAGAATTTGAGAAAGTTGAGGAATTAGAGGGAATTGGAGAGATTTTGTAGTGTATTTTAAGTATCCACAAATCTCACCTATTCCCATGAGATTTCGAGGGAATTGAATCAAAATTTTATATGAAATCTCTACAAATCAATTAAACTCCATAAAAATCCATGGATTTATAAATCCATTAAAATATCTCAAATTCTCAATTAAATACACCTATGTCAAATTAATTACTTGTTCAAGGCTTCAAGCTATCTCATTTATGAAGAGAATTTGAGCAAATTTGCAGACTTGGATAGAATTGGGAAAGCATTCCTTTTTAAGACAGCTAATTATAAGAGATAACGTTCTGGAATTGTGGCATGCATACAGGTGGATAGCCTGCATGCACTGCAACCAGTAGTAAGTGTGGATGCAAATTTCCGTCTTCTTCTTCGTGGACAAAAATGCGCCTGCAAAACAATGAACACCTTAGGTCAAGGCCAAGAGAATCACGCACCCAAGATAAATTGGGGGGCGCGGGGGGGGGAGCTTTGGCCGAAGAACCTCTGATGCCAAAGTTAGAATTTGAGAGAGAGTGTTTAGAGAAATTTGGAGAATTTTATAAGAGAATTGGACTTAGTTTTTTGGAGAAATGAGGTGGTATTTATAGGGGTGTGGCCGGCCCCCTTTGGAGAGATGGGAACCGGCCACATATGATGGTTTTTGGGTGTAATTGCAAGATATTATGTCAAAATAATATCTTGCAATTAATTAGGAAATTAATCAATTAATTTAGGGAATTAATCCTATTTTAAATGAATAATTGAAGGTTACCTTGTGGGGAGGATTTGATGAGGATGGACGAAATAGGTTTTGAATAATACCTATTTTGATCACTGTTGACCTTGATTATGCCATGATTGTCCGCTGCTTGTGTGTAGAAGTTCCGGTGTTCCTCGAGGATAATATTGTCTTTTTAACCCAAAAGTACACGTGTCTTCTCCATAATTTTCCTGATTATATTTTACTCCATAGAAAAAAACAGGTGGTTATGCCTCTAGTGATCATAGGGAAACAATGGGGCATATATATACCGAGCAACTTGACATAGTATTAATATAAATCTCCTGATGTCTATGCTAGATGAGACATGACTATCATAGAACCTGAAAAATATGAAGAAGCAAGATGGAAGTTGAAATGTCCATGATTGAGAATTATCAGACTCCACTTGGTGTTAGTAGATAGGCCTTTTGACAAACTCTATAGTTGGTGTCAAATGGGTTTTAATTTGGATGGTACAATTCAGAAGCATAAGGACAGACTGGTAGTTAAGGCTACTATTATATCAACTTGATGTAAAGTCTTTTTTAATGGAGTTCTACAGGAGGAAGTCAATGTAGGGCAACCTGGGGGTTTTGTGATTACAGGGGATCAGTGAGTAGGTTTATAACTGAATAAGGCTCTCGATTGTCTGAAGCAAGTACCAAGGACTTGGTATGAAGAAATCAAATCTTATTTGCTCAATTGTGGTTTTCATAGAAGTCCAAGTGAAGCAAAACTCTATATCAAATTCAAAGATGCAGAATCACTCACTGTGTCAATTTATGTAGATGACTTTGTGTATACAGGAAGCAGCAATGAACTAATTGCAGAATTCAAAGAAGAACGATGAGAAGATATGAGACTGATCTTAGCTTGTTATATTATTTTCTTCGCTTGAAAATTGTGCAATCTGAGCATGTCATCTTCATAAATAAAAAGAAATCTGCTCTAGCCTTATTAGAGAAGTTTGGATTAAAAGATTGCAAGCATATAGAAAATAAATGGTGGGTTTTGATGGGGAGGAACAAGGAAAGTAGAGAAACCTAGTATACCTCTTGTTGTCAATGATTAATCGATAGAGTTGCCTCCTCCTAGTCGTAAGATCACAAGATGAATTTTCTGTTGGATTTTGTGGCTCAATACTTCTTGGGCCTTTAGTTTTTTGTCTCAAGCCCAAATAGGTTTGGCCTTTTGTTACCCATTTGAAAGCCACATGGCAGCTAGGGTTTAATTAAAAAGGCACCAGATTTATATAAGGAAATTCATGCCTTTTGGTCAGAAGACAAGCTGCAGAAAAGCAGCAGAAAGGTAGCAGAAAAGAAAGTGCAGCCGAAAGCAAGAAAAAAAGAGAAAAGGCAGCAATGATGAAATTTGTTAGGATGTTGGCTCAGGGAAGAAAAGTCAAAAGCTTTTATTTTGGTATTTTCAAGGGCAGCAGCTGCTATATGTTTGAGGAGAAGCCGAGAGAAGGGGAACGGCAGATTAGAGAGAAGTAAGAGAAAGGTTGCTGTTTTCTATTCTTCCTATTTGTTTGTAATCCCCTTTGTTAGTGATCACTCAATCAAAGATATTTGTGCTACATGTTGTGGCTTTTGGGAGAGAAGGAATTAGATATGTGTTTCTTCTTCTCCATTTGTTTCTTTGTTTGAGTGAGAGCTATTGGGTGTATGTGGGATTTGGGTTTGAGAGTTAAAACTCTATTTGTAATCTCCTTTGATATTAGTGGAATTTCCTCGCCGTCTCGGAACTGGACGTAGGCTTACGCCGAACCAGTATAAATCCTTGTGTTCTTTGGATTATTTGTCTTGTCATATTTTACCGTATTAGCTTATTGGTTTCATATTTGACGCTTCCGCACAACAAGTGGTATCAGAGCTCCGGGTTTCGACTTGGGGCTTTGTACTAATATGTCTATGAAACCTTCGAATATGTCGGTGAAATATGATATTGAAAAATTCAATGGGAGGAATGATTTTAGCCTGTGGCGGGTTAAGATGCGAGCTGTGCTAGTTCAACAAGGGTTGCTTAAGGCGGTATAGGGTGTGGAAGCCTTGCCACAAGATTGGTCTGCTGAAGAAAAAGAAGACGCTTTGAATCGAGCACATAGTGCAATTATGTTATCACTATCTGATGAAGTTCTTCGTGAGATGGAAGATGAAACTACTGCAGCTGGTTTGTGGCTTAAGTTGGAGAGTATATACATGACCAAATCCCTCACCAATCGTTTGTATTTGAAGCAACGTTTGTACACTCTCCGTATGACTGAAGGTACACCTATTCAAAACCATCTTGATGAGTTTAATAAGGTTATTATGGATTTGAAAAGTATGGATAATAAAATTAATGATGAGGATCAATCTTTGATTTTGTTGTGTTCTTTACCTCCTTCGTATGCGAATTTTGTTGAAACTTTGTTATATGGGAGAGATTCTATTTGTATGGAGAATGTAAAAGCCGCTTTGAATTCAAGAGAGTTAAAGAACAAAGTATTTGGAAATTTGAATGATTCTCATTCTGAGGCTTTGATAGCAAGAGGCAGAGATAGGGAATATGGTTCAGGGAGTAATAAAGGAAATTGAGATCGAAGTCTAAGACCAGAAACAACACATGCAACTATTGTCGCAAGGAAGGGCATTGGAAAGTTGATTGCCCAAAACTGAAAGATAATGTTGGTGCGAGTGCGAATGTCGTCGATGACGACTTCGACTTTGTTCTATGATGACAGTTGGCTACACCAGATTTGAAAAAAAAAAGAAAAAAAAAAAGAAAAAAAAAAGAAAAGGAATCTGATGTTGTGGGTACTCTTAAATCTCTCTGCTACATATGGAGATTTAAGAGTTTGTAAGGATTCTGTGTTATGATTTGAGAAAGTTGCTTAGTAGCCTATATGTATGTTTGTGTTATGTCAGTTGCTCTTCATCGGTGTTTTTATTGTTTTGGATATTGGTATGGTTTTTTTTTTTTGGTAAAGTTGAATTCAGTGAGGGTCAATTTGTTAAGTTCTGCAAGTTTGGATAGTGAGACACCACACTATTTTGGAGACACCACATGCATTGCAGAACATTTGTGTGGAACCCTCTTGTAGAAGGCAAGTTATATGCTTTCTAACTTTGTTTGGTCTATGGACATTTGGTTGGATTTGTTTGCCACTGCTATTTGGTCTGTTGGTCTCCATCATCTGCAATTAGTTTTCTTGAAGACTTCAGTTGAGGTATGGTTTTGGATCTCCTGCTGATTATTTGAATTTGAAATTTTGGTTGTCCTGTTGGTGCTCATGTGATGATGGTAAACTTGAGTGAAGGGCATATTTTTGTATGTGGTATGTGAGACTTTGTTGCCAAATTTGTAATCAGTTTTGACTTGGAGAATATGCCATACTATGTGAATGAGTCTATTGGTGCAGTTTCAGACCATGGTGTGTTTGTGAGCAGGTGGAGTTCGTTGTGTGTGTCCAACTTTGGTATGATGTGCTTGATCTTTTGTTGGTGATATTGAAGAATTTCAGTTCTTCGTTTGAATCACTTTTGTTTTGATCAAGGCACTTATGGTTTGCAAATTTGGAGAAGACGGTAGAGAAATGTTCACTTTCGTTGGCTTTGGTACAGTTTGAGTCGAGGTGGAAATTGTTATGAGTACCGGAAAGTTTGGTGAATTTGATTTAGCTTCCGTTGTCTGTAATTCGTATTTTGGGTGCTTATGATGATTGTTGAGTCAACTCTGAGTTGCTTTCGGGAATTTCGCCAAGGTGGAGATTGTTGGATTTTGTGGCTCAATACTTCTTGGGCCTTTAGTTTTTTGTCTCAAGCCCAAATAGGTTTGGCCTTTTGTTACCCATTTGAAAGCCACATGGCAGCTAGGGTTTAATTAAAAAGGCACCAGATTTATATAAGGAAATTCATGCCTTTTGGTCAGAAGACAAGCTGCAGAAAAGCAGCAGAAAGGTAGCAGAAAAGAAAGTGCAGCCGAAAGCAAGAAAAAAAGAGAAAAGGCAGCAATGATGAAATTTGTTAGGATGTTGGCTCAGGGAAGAAAAGTCAAAAGCTTTTATTTTGGTATTTTCAAGGGCAGCAGCTGCTATATGTTTGAGGAGAAGCCGAGAGAAGGGGAACGGCAGATTAGAGAGAAGTAAGAGAAAGGTTGCTGTTTTCTATTCTTCCTATTTGTTTGTAATCCCCTTTGTTAGTGATCACTCAATCAAAGATATTTGTGCTACATGTTGTGGCTTTTGGGAGAGAAGGAATTAGATATGTGTTTCTTCTTCTCCATTTGTTTCTTTGTTTGAGTGAGAGCTATTGGGTGTATGTGGGATTTGGGTTTGAGAGTTAAAACTCTATTTGTAATCTCTTTTGATATTAGTGGAATTTCCTCGCCGTCTCGGAACTGGATGTAGGCTTACGCCGAACCAGTATAAATCCTTGTGTTCTTTGGATTATTTGTCTTGTCATATTTTACCGTATTAGCTTATTGGTTTCATATTTGACGCTTCCGCACAACATTTTCCATTTTAGAATTCTTAATGGTGTGAAATACTCTGATTCTATGGCGGAATTCATGAAATGGAAATGAAGGTTAACATTTCAATTTTTGTATACATCTTTGTCTAATAATAATTGTCAACTCTCTGGCTGCTGGAAGGTGTTGTTGAATATGAAGCTTGCATCACCGGAACTTATACTTTATGATTCATATCAGTTTAAGTTGGGGATTGTTTGGGAAATGGATTTTCTTAAACATAGGATATTTATCAAGTACGTTAGCAGCACAAATTACCGACGCCACGACGGATCAGTCTGCTCTGGTTGCTCTCAAATCCCATATCACCAATGATCCACAAAACATCTTGACAATCAACTGGTCCGCTACTACCTCCGTTTGCAGTTGGGTTGGCGTTACTTGCAACCTACGCCACCATAGAGTCATGACCTTGAACCTCTCTTTCATGATTCTCACTGGAACCATTCCACCAAATCTAGGAAACCTTTCATTTCTTGTTAGGTGGAGCCTCAGAAATAACAGTTTCCACGGTACCTTGCCTCATGAATTAACCCGTTTACGCGGACTGAAGTTGATTATCTTTACAAACAACAACTTTACGGGAAATATTCCACCATGGTTTGAGTCCTTATCCAAGCTTCAAGCCTTCAGTTTAGATGGCAACCAGTTTTCAGGTTCTATACCCACTGCTATCTGTAACTTACCTGCACTGCAACTAATTATAATGGAATTGAGGGAAAATCAGCTGTCAGGTAATGCCTAGCTAGCTTAACAACCATCAAGAATTAATTTAGGAAAAAGTAGGATCTAGTCCCTTGTTGTCGCTAATGTTTATAGACTCAAATCTTATTGGTTTTCAGTTTTTATTTTTTATTTTTTATTTTTTTATTATCAAAGTCATAGTTCCATGTCATCTTTTTTATTTTTTTACAACAAATTTTAATTTATAATTTCACCCACATGATCATGTTCAAAAGGTTGAATAACTTTTGTAGCTGAAAATCCCAAAATTCTCTCACTCAAATTTATATTTATATTCAAATTCAAGATTATTATACGGAATATGTATCTTCAAATTTAAATTTTGCCAAAATTTTTTCAAACTTATTTTTTCTCCATGACCATCTTATTGCAAAATCATAACAAATGACCATTATATTGCTATGAACGCAATTTTAATTTTATTGGGTACAGTCTCTTCTCTTGTTCCTTAATCCATGTACCCAACTTTTATTCTATACTACCATTGTAACTTTTTCTTCTAAATTGTTTTATACCCATTTATAACTTTTTCTTATAAAATTTATATAGTATGTACCCTTATGTAATATGGTCTTATGGTTTGCTTCCATTTTTCTATCCTTTAATCATTTTTTACATTAAGAATTTATATTGGTACAATTAATGTTTTTTTTTTGTCACAAATGGATTTTAATATTTGAAATTGTATATGGTACATTCTTATGAATTACTATAATTGTACATTGGTACATTCTTATGGGAACATGCATTTATCTTTTATCATGACATTTTTTCTTCTTATTAATTTACAACTACTATAAAAAAAATAAACACGCAATTGCTTGAACAATGTGCTCTGCTTCGAATCACTTAACCCTGTAATTTTTTTTAAATAATATTTTAAACAATATTAATTTATGTACAAATTTACTTAACTTATATTTGTTGCTGTGAGATTAAATTCACCGCCTTCCTTTAACGTAGGTAGTATCGTTTGTTACAAAAATAAAAAATAAAAACTCGTAATTGCTCTCTTCTCGTAATTCAGAACAGATTAAAGATTGTCCGAAAAAATATTGATATATTGAAAAAAAATAGAAATTTACTCCAACATCAACAAATTTTCCACGCTCAAATCCACACTCAAACAAAAGGGACTCACAACAAGTCTTCAATTCTTCTCATACTCTCACTCACTTTCCGGGAACAAAGTTTGTGGCATAGTTCCAGGCATTGTTGGCGACTGGGTCCGCAAGGTGGTCGGCAAGGTTCTCCAATGGTCCCTTACCGGTGACAATGGCCTGCACAAAGAATCCGAACATGGAGAACATGGCCAACCTTCCATTCTTGAGCTCCTTCACCTTGAGCTCAGCAAAAGCTTCTGGGTCGTCGGCAAGACCCAATGGGTCGAAGCTTCCGCCGGGGTAAAGTGGGTCGGTCACCTCTCCGAGGGGGCCGCCGGCAATTCTGTATCCCTCAACTGCGCCCATCAACACCACTTGGGTAGCCCAGATGGCCAAGATGCTCTGTGCATGGACCAAGCTAGGGTTTCCCAAGTAGTCGAGACCGCCCTCGCTGAAGATCTGGGCTCCGGCCTTGAACCACACGGCTTCGCCGAACTTGACACCGTTGCGGGACAAGAGCTCTGGGAAAACGCATCCAAGAGCTCCGAGCATGGCCCATCTGGAGTGGATCACTTCGAGCTCACGGTTCTTGGCGAAGGTCTCTGGGTCAGCTGAGAGTCCGGCGGTGTCCCAGCCGTAGTCACCGGGGAACTCGCCGGTGAGGTAGCTTGGGGGCTCACCGGAGAATGGCCCCAAGTACTTGACTCTGTCAGGGCCGTACCATGGGCTGCCAGAGGAGACTTTTTTGGTAGCAGTTTTCCTCATGGACACTCTTCCGTTTCCAAAAAGCTCGGTGGCTCCCGGGGAAAGTTGCACGGCTTTGCCGGCGAAGGTTGGGGAAGAGAGAGCCATGGAAGCTGCCATTGCAAAACAAATGTGATACTAGTAGAATGATAAACCAGTTAAAGGAAGAGAGGATGATGGGTGGTTGTGATTGGCTTCATGGCTTAAATAGGACAGTGCCCTTATCCTAGAAAATCAATAGCTTTACTCTCATTGGTTGTGACATTCTGAAGTTCGATTTTTCTTGTCTAGTTGGCAGTGGCACCCTCTACCACCAGTAGTACCAACAGTCGCTAGATTATACAGTTTGTACTGGTGTTTGAAAAATCTCAAGACAATAATGCATGGGTACCACTAGTTTGTCCAATCGGACAGTGCCACTTGTCCAATTGGATAGGCTTTCTGTGCTCGGAGATAGTAGAGGATTTCCTCTGTAGGACCAAACCCTAATTCTACCATGCAACTGTACACCTCCGTATTTCCAAATTCTGGACCTCTCAGAACATTGCTGCATTGCTAGCCATGAATGAATGAAGTCACTTATAATTCTAAACAAATCGTATGTTTCTTATGTACAATGCATCAGTTGTCTAGACTTGAGAGATTTTTTAACAAACTCATCAATGCAACAGTTGTCTAGACTTGAGAGATTTTTTTTTAAGAATGCACTTGAAGATTATTATGGACCCTACAAAACCGTACAAAACTTTCACAACAAGACAATATTCTGAACTATTAATTTACGAGAATGAGAATGCTAACTTAGTACAAGAAGGCCGATAAGGCACACTGTTTTGACCAACTGACTTAACTCACAAAATAAGTTTTTACTTGAAATCATGATTCCTGTTTAACAAAAGGCAATATAAGAAATAGTCAATACCATTTAGCAAGGAATGTAATTTGGATGTTGACAAACTCAATCCATGCAGGAGCACCCTATTCTTCAACATTTGTGACTATAATCATATAATGCATGTATTAACTCCGTGCAAACTAACATGTATGCTTCTGATCTTAGTTTTAGGGAGAGATATTTTTTGGGTCGGATAAGATTGAAGAGCTCAAACCAAATTTCTTGCATCCAAATTATAATCCGGTTCACGTGAAAGTGAGTTTGAGATGTGGACCAAGATCATCCGATATTTTCACAAAGATTTTTTCTTCTCCTTATGCAGAGATATTTTCCTCACATGCCCTCTCTGCCTACCACTCGATTGTTCTTTTAACTTTTTTCTGAAGGGTGAAATTTTTACTTCCTAACTACCATATCAACCCTAACATTCGACCGTTGGCACTGTCACGACTCCTGTAGGTTGTAACACTCCAACCGATAGAATGCACCGAAAGTACCCAGCTTGTAGATTTTTCAAGATTGTTTTAGAGAGAGAGAGAGAGAGAGAGAGAGAGAGAGCTTCCAATATTGGCTAAGAGTAATCATGGAGAGCCCGCATTGGTTATAGGCCAGGGAAATGAATCTGACGACGTGGTGGATTAGAGAGACTAACACGTTGGTGGATTAGAGAGACTGACACGTAGGCAAACAAAAACAGAAGAAAAATCTTGGCAGTCCAATGAGATTAAAGCTTTAGATAACATAAGATAAGTGGCTTTGATATCATGCCACTATAAGTACGTACCAAATCGGCCACCATCAATCACTACTCTCATACTTGAACTGTCAATCAAACCTCAATCCTCTCTTTCAACTATGGCTGCTTCCACAATGGCTCTGTCTTCCCCAACCTTCGCCGGCAAAGCCGTGCAACTTTCCCCGGGAGCCACCGAGCTTTTCGGAAATGGAAGAGTCTCCATGAGGAAAACTGCTACCAAAAAAGTCTCCTCTGGCAGCCCATGGTACGGCCCTGACAGGGTCAAGTACTTGGGCCCATTCTCAGGCGAGCCCCCAAGCTACCTCACCGGCGAGTTCCCCGGTGACTACGGCTGGGACACCGCCGGACTCTCAGCTGACCCAGAGACCTTCGCCAAGAACCGTGAGCTCGAAGTGATCCACTCCAGATGGGCCATGCTCGGAGCTCTTGGATGCGTTTTCCCAGAGCTCTTGTCCCGCAACGGTGTCAAGTTCGGCGAAGCCGTGTGGTTCAAGGCCGGAGCCCAGATCTTCAGCGAGGGCGGTCTCGACTACTTGGGAAACCCTAGCTTGGTCCATGCACAGAGCATCTTGGCCATCTGGGCTACCCAAGTGGTGTTGATGGGCGCAGTTGAGGGATACAGAATTGCCGGCGGACCCCTCGGAGAGGTGACCGACCCTCTTTACCCCGGAGGAAGCTTCGACCCGTTGGGCCTTGCCGATGACCCAGAAGCCTTTGCTGAGCTCAAGGTGAAGGAGCTCAAGAATGGAAGGTTGGCCATGTTCTCCATGTTTGGATTCTTTGTCCAGGCCATCGTCACCGGAAAGGGACCATTGGAGAACCTTGCCGACCACCTTGCCGACCCGGTCGCCAACAATGCCTGGAACTATGCCACAAACTTCGTTCCCGGAAAGTGAGAGCTCGGAATTGTTTTGTACTTTTGTTTGTAGTGTTGTCGGTGATGTAAATTTGGTACCAAGTAATGGACAACAATTGATTTGAACTATTTCGATCTTTTCGCTTTTGAACAATCTATTAATTGGTCGAAATTCGTACCAGAAAACTTTGAAATATTGCCTGCTAGGGCAAAGCAAAACTGAACTGAGAAATGCAATTGGAAGATATGAACTATGAGATTACATGGTTCAGATTCACCTAAAACCTTTCCTTCAAAAGACCTCGGTGCAATTTAAGCGAAAATCTACCCCTTAATAACAATCATTTCTAACACAGGCTACAACGTGTGGCAATTGTATTTGATCCACAATTTCTAACACAGGCTATCTTAGACATGTAGGGGGGATGGGAACGATTCGATTTGGAAACGGAAATGCCATATCCATCCTCATAACCATGAAAATTAACCATCCTTACTCCCTAGGTAATAGGCAGGATCCAAATAAATTTGTTCCGAGTCTACGAGCAATGCGAGCTCAGATACTCTGCTTTTAAGAAGAAAATGATACAATAATTAGAAGAATAAACATGATTTTGAATATTTATTTGCTTCATATCTCTTGTATATTTTGCGTGGAGATATTTATGTATTCAATTAATATGCCCGAAAGGTATACGAGTTTTGTAATTAAATTAAGAACCTAGTAATTAGTATACAACTAAACTGGTTTTATGAACAAATAAATGGTGATCGAATGTAAAAGAATGAACAATTTGTCGAAGGCGCATCGATTCTTAAAACCACCTCTGTCGCTTCGAGCATTTAATTTAACATTTGCAGAACTTGAAAACATTCAATCTCAAGCTTCTGGTGTGCTCGCTAGTCAGATAACTTTCGTTCAAAACATGCATCCATATATCGACCTTACCTGTCCGAGCGCCAACTTGCCAGAGACGAAGCCACATTTGTTTCGCTAAAAAAAGCACAGACGTGCCTTACATAGCAAGGTATCATAAAGCTTTAAGCGTGAGCGACAGCCCTTGCTCTGGCCAGAGACTTGGAGTAGAGTTCTTCGTACCGTGATGCAGAAGTATCCCAACTGAAATCTATATTCATGACCTTCTGAACAAGCTGCTGCCAACTATCCGGCTTATTCATGTAGAGGGCGAATGCACGTCCCAAGGCCCCGTTGAATCCCTGTGGCGTTTCCAAGTCAGGATACAGTAAATCATGGACAAGAAAAACTAGAATAACATACTGGAGGGGAGAAAAATCACAACACGAGGAAAGGATCTACGATCAAATTGCAAGCCTTGAGCACCAATGCCAGATCAAAAACGAAAGAAAAGGAAAGAAAAGGAAAGAAGAATGTATATGGATGGGCTTTACCTGTTCGTTAGGAGTCAAGAATGAATATCCATTCCGAAACTGAAGAGGTACGGTGTCGTCATCAACATCAAAAACACTGCACATTAAGTATTTTAGGAGTTAAGGTTCCTCTAGAAGGAATAACCTAAATCGCTAGTAGAACGGATAAAATAGGTCAGGCAGTGGATACTCACCTATCATTTAGACCACCAGTTTTTCTTACAATGGGTATAGAACCGTATCTCATGGCTATCATCTGCCCAAGAAAAAGCACAAGTTAATCCAGCATGATGTAGCGAGTAGTGTGCTGAAGTTTTGCGCAGGAAAGAGAACAGACTTTACCTGTGTAAGTCCACAAGGCTCAAAGATAGACGGGATGATGAACATATCAGAAGCAGCAAAAATGGCATGGGAAAGAGAGTCGTCGTACTTCAATATCAAACGAACATGATCATGATTCTCAAAATGGCTTGCAAGACCCTCAAATTCGCTCTACAATAGCAAACAACACAACAAAAAACCTTTCAGTTATAGATTAGATCATCAGATAATGAAGAGACTACTAAGTATTTACATCTACCGGACGGGAGAATCCAGCGTATTTATAACTTCAATCAATTTGAAACATTTATATCCATTTGTTAATTAAATAAGCATGACAAACAAACAATAAAGAACACGATATTAAATTGGACTTTTCTATCGCTTTGGACTTGAACTCAGAATCTTAGCAATATATTGGATTAGAGAATAGGTATTATGTTTGATACTGCTTTCAACTTAGCGATACATTAATATGGTTAGAGACAACAGAGATACATTCCCTGCTTGAGCATAAAATAACAGCGTAATTTTCTAACAGTAACGAACATAGCCAGGATATAATATCAAAACGGAAGATAGAGCAGTGCCTGAATATGATGCACTGGGCTAGAACCCAGAAGTACAAACTGTCCTCCGAGCTCCAATGTTCGATATATCGCATGTCTGATAAGATGTACACCTTTCTGTGGCACCAATCTTGTTATGCAGCCCACCTATTAAAGGATTGATCAAACAATTTCAATTAAGTATTCACTCATCTGGATTACCGAAAATAGAATAATGATGCCATTTTATAGAGTACCAGATATGATTCCAAGTGCAGAGAAAATTTAACAGAAAATGAAATTACCAATGGCCTCTTGACATCTGCCGAAGAAAGCCCCAGAGTTCTTCTTAAAGCTTCCTTATTTTCTGCTTTCCCCTGACGATCATTAGCACTGTACTGTACTTTGAGAT